ATTAACTCTAAAAAATAAGGCCAATCAAGAACGTTTTTGAAAATGTCGAAAAGCGAAACAGAGAACATAAAAATCAATCTTAATTTTTGAAAATTTTTTTTAAAGCTGAACATCTCAGTTTTTCAATTACCAGAAAAAGCCAAGAAAAAAGAATTAAGTCAACAGAAATGCTATTAAAAATTACTGCGTTATAATGAAAACGTCTAAAAAAAGTTTTTTTTTTATTTAAAGAAAATAAAAAGATAGAAAAAATGTTCTTAATTTTTTAAGTGAAAATCTTATGCCGAAAATCTCAATTTAAATTTTTCTCATTGCCATAATTTTAGAAGAAAAAAAATTGCTATAAAATAAATTTTATTAGTAACTTTATTTTTAAAAAAAATGCTGAGTCATAATAAAAATGCCTAAAAAAAGAAAAACAGAAAAAACAAATTTTTCTTAGTTCCTGAAACAAAACTTTAATACTGAAAATCACACTTTTCTATGTTACTGGTTATTTATATTACAGTACAGGGAAAGAGTGATAATAAATTAATAGTATGAGACGTTCTGTTAAAATGCTGGGTTATAATAAAAACTGCAAAAAATGGATCCTTCTCAATTCTCAAAGTATCGAAAAAATGACAAAATTGACTTGTCTGATTATAATTTTTAAAAAAAAAGTAATATCTATAAAAATTCAAAAATAAAAAAAACTTAGAAAAATACATTTCTAAAAAATATTCTGCCGAATATTTGACTGATCATTCAACCAACTGAATTTTTCACAGAAGGGCCAAATACTCGTTACATCCCTCCCTAATTTAAATGCAATGTTATTTCAACTTGAGAAATTCATAAAATGGCGGAAAACGTGAATTTTTAAACTGCTCACTGTTTGTAGTTTAGATTTAAATTTTTTGTTGCTTAAGTGATCTTTTTCGAAAAAAAAAAGGAAAATGTTTACGATATAAAAAATCTAATAATTAATAAAATAAAATAATAAAGTACATTACAAAATAAGCATTGAATTTTATTTTGAACTATCACAGTTTTGTTTTTATTTTAGGCTTTTGTTTAAAACCTATAAATTTTCTTCAATTAAAATATTTAATTTGAATTTATAATACTTAAATATGACTAAACTTTTTCCTATTTTCATTCTGTGGGCATTGCAGTTTTTTTTTATTTATTAGAATTTAATTCTAAAATGAATTTTCGTATTGCATGATATGATAAAAAAAAACATTTCTTTTCTTCAATGTTTATTCATTTTGATAAATCTATTGTTCATATAATAAAAATAGCAAGTTTTTTTTTTGTAAAAAAAAAAATATAAGTTTTTTTATTTTTGAATGAATTCCAATAATGGAACACTTCAAAGTTATTGATATTACTAAGTTTATTGATTAAAAAAATGGAACGCTAATGTTTAAATAAACATTACTACATTTGTCATTAACATGTCTAAATACATGTGCGGCCCTTCGTTATCCAACCAGCTGTGCAAGTGGCCCTTCACTCAAAAAGGTTGTGCACCCCTAGTTTAGAGTAAAATACATACTTTTAAAGTAATTTTACAATATTGTGGGATGAAAAAAGGCACCACCTAAAGCGAAAAAAAAAGATTAACTTCTTAAAATTTTTATAAAACATTGTAAAAAGATAGAAGAAATTATTTGTGTATGAGGTGTTCAAACTAATTCGTACTAAAATTAAAAAATAAAATGTGGTTAAATAAATTGTAATTTGAGGCATCGTTAAAATGTGTTCAAAAAGAATGTGTGGCAAATAATTATTTGATTGCCTGAAAGCAAGGTAAATATTAATTTTAGTGAGATACACATTATAGATGCTATGTGAAATAATTCGAAACAATTATTTGCATTAAAAAGCATTTTCCTATCAACTAATAATTTTCAATTTTATTTCTTGGTTTGTGGTATTATGTCCTATAGTGAAATGACATAAACGCACCAGGGAATTTTCTTGTTTCACGTTGGCCTAATATTATTAGTAGCTTAATATTACTCTAACATCTCTAAATTTTGAAACCATATATTTCCGTGAGTAAAAATAATAAAGTTAACCTTCTGCTGAAAGTGGGGATAAACTTCACTTACAAGATAGATTATTTAAGTATTTAACACCACTCATTTGTTTTAGAGAATTATTGCAAATATTTGTTTTACTTTTTTTTCACACCTGCAGCAGTAAAAAGGAAAGGAAGACTCCTAATCCTCAATCCTCGTAAGAGAATATTCGCGGGGTGGCTGTGGGAGGAGAATTCATCAACGGCAAGGGAAAGAGCCAGAGTTCTCAATAGGAATAAAAAAGGGCAGGAAACTTAACATCAAATATTTATCAAAATGTGTAATAGTACAGAACCCGTTATCCGGAAATCAGAAAACAAAAAAACCGGAACGAAATTCGATAAATTTTTCCGCCATTTTTTAAAAAAAAATTTGTTTTTTCCTCATAAGATTTTAGGATTTTTCTTTCTTTTTTGAAAGATGTTCACCTTACCATCATTTTGGAAATAATCATTAGTATGTTACTTCATCGTTTTTTCTTCTTTTTAAGATTATTTCCATTTTTTTTTTTTTTTTAGTTGGGTTTAACAATAAAAAAACGGCTTTTTGTAGCGATTCCGAAAACCGGAAAAATCAGTTATCCGGAATAGCGATGGTCCCGATCTTCCCGGATAATCGGTTCCCTACTGTATTATGCAATAACTGAATTTTATGCACAACAATTTTTAAATTATCCTCACGTACTATTATATGAGTATATTTCTAAAAGCAATTCTCTCTCATTATTAAAATAAGAGAAAAATTTGTAGTTTATAAAAATAATGAAAAGCATGGCAGCCTATGTGCATATTTTTTTTCCAAAAAAAGTTAACTAACAAAAAATGATTAATTGAACAACTTGAAAGTTTTTCTTTCTTTCTATAATTTAATTTAAACTGAAAATTATGATAAAATGAGCATTCAAAGATGCATTTTTTTTAAAGAAAAAAAAAAGTTGTATTTATTTTTAAAAAAATAGTACTAAATACTAAAAAAATGGTACTTTTTTTTCACCAAAAAAGAATATTATTTAAAAAAGTAATAGTACTAAAATCTCTTAAAAATTTTGTTAATATCTCCCCCCCCCCCAAAAAAAAGAGATATTTATAAAAATTTAACAAGTTGAAAATAATCCTAACAAAGTAAATACTAATCTGTATTGAGCCTATAAACTCAGATAATTTTGCCAGTGTGTCAATATTATTTAAAAACAATGAATAATTATTTTTAAAAAATGGAATCTGAATTAAAAAGCAATGTTTTTGAGGAACAGTGGCTTATTTTTGAAAAAGGGGCACATTTATCGGGATCAAAGGGCAAGCAAAGCGGGCTGCCCTTCAAAAAGCGCTTAGGAAGGACACTGAATACACTAACATAGATTAAACATTAAAATCTAGCGCATCTAATTCATAGTACAAAAACTTCGAGATGTTTACTTGAATTATTTTCCTTTAAAACAAAGCAAAATGTTCATGAATATTATGAACCGAATAATGAAATAAAAGAAAGAAGAAAATAAAGGATTAAAAGAGAAAAATAACTTTTAGTAAAATGCGCAAAAATATATAGAATATACAGTGGACTTCTGATTATTGATATGAAATGCCTCTTCCCAGTTAAAAAAAAGTTTAACGAAAATTGAAAATTTTTGAGCAACAGGACATTAATAAATAAATTTCTGCTGAAGAGAGAGGGGAAAAAATTACGTTTGATGTTATATTTATAATAATAAAATTACACAAAAAATTTAAATATTGCTTTCTTCTAAATTTTTGTCCCTAAGTGTTAGTCCTGTTTTTTTTTTGGAGGGGGGGGGGTGTAAATATTCGTCCCTAATAATTAACAGTCTAATATATCTTCAGTTATCTGTAAGTATGCTTTAAAAAATGGTTGATATAAGAAATTGGGTATTAAGGAAGTAACAAAAATGCGTTTTTAATAACTTTTGAGACATTTCAATTAGATCAAGAATTTTTTGGTAAATTGAACTTTTCCACATGACTGACGGTAGTCTAATGCAGCAATGACACATTAGTTAAGACCCTGAACTGTCAAATGAGTAGGGCTACCAGAGCTCTCCCAAGAAATAAAAAAGGTCCGGGAGCTTCCTCAATGAAAGGGCACTCACTTAACACAATAAAAATTTATCAACAATATTATTCAATTTAAAATAAATGGATAATTAATTAAAGTCAATTTTTTATGATAACGTTTTCTTGAATGAAATTTATAAAACTAAAAACTGTTTAGTATGATAAAATATATACGTATAAAAAAAAGAACTGAAAATGAGCAGACTATAATTTAAAACTTTTCTTTCATGAATAAATCTTGTCTGCTGATGTTCTTTTCAAACAATATTAATATTCAGCTTTTTTAATATTCATATCCCCAAAGTTAGTTTTTCTTCAACTGCTCTTGTAATTTCAACAACTCTTTCTATATGTTTTTTTTCGGCAAAATGAATGAGCTATCAGAAAATCAGCAAGAAGAAATTTTTTTTTTCTAATACTTTTTTTTAACAGATTGAAAGAGTAAAAAAAAAAAGGTTTATTTTAATTTTTAACAAGTGTTAAATTTATTTCAGTGACAACTAATGCTTAAAAATGTATTTATCAATTGCTTTGTTACAATAACTAGGGTCAATAAAATCAAATTCTTGCATGAAAAAAATAATGATAATTTTTCATTTGTAATGATTGTTTTCCTTTTTTTTTCCTCTGATAAAAAAATGGCATTACTATTGTATGTCCCTAATTGTGTCTAAGCAAATCTAGATAGTGAGGGCTTATCTGTAATTTTCCTGTTGTTCCAAAAGGACCAACCTATGGTTGTTATCTGGTATTGATTTCAGTTTCTTGTTTCATCAATTACATGTATTTCACTGTTTATTTAAGCTACTTTTATTTTTATTTATCTAAATTATATATTTTATGTATTGTATTTTAGGTTTAGAGTTATGACTGCAAATTCAAAGGAGGAAGAAAAAGATTCTAATATTTTTGAGGAAATCTTAAATAAACTAACTAATTCAAATTTTATTTCTATATTTTTTCTTTTACTGGAAAATTATATTAAACCTGACCGGTATTTATGGATCATAAATCAAGATAAAAGTGAAAAGATAAAAATTCTCGAAAAGATTTTGTTGACTCGTCATATATTTGCCAAAGATCTACTGATTGAAATTTTATGGACTATAAAACGATATGATTTGTTAAAAAATTTAGATGTTTGTCAGCACAGCTATCAATGTCAATCTTCTGGTTTAAATAGAATATGGTATGTATATGTTTTTATTTTGCTAAATATTTTAGATTTGTTTATAGTGTCATTGAAGACAAGCTTGTTCCATATTTTCATATAAAATTTGTGTCACAAAGGAAAGAAGCCTTAACTTTGATGATTAACTTGGTAGTTGTAAAATTATCCCAAACTGACTGCACAGAGTGTCCCATACTAATTAAACTCAGTGGCGCGACAGCCCAAAGAGGGCCAGGCCTACTGTGCCCATCTCAGCTTTCTTGACCTTGGGCTCTGGGGTGCAGGAGCAGATGTTCCGGTCAGCCGAACGCAGATCCCCCAGTGTTTAGTTCACAAGCATGCTTGGTACTCATTTATCGACCTACTAAGTACTCCAACCGATATTTTAATGCGAGTCTCTGGTGGTCACCAGAATATCTCACTCCGTTTCTTTCCATGGTATTGTGCCTATTTATTTGTGTCCGTCGCGTCTGTTTCTTATCTCGCCACTTTATACGATCAGTTTGAATCTTTGCTCAGTAAAGAGGGATATAACTTAAAATCTTTACTCTAATTCTTTGATATTTCAAAGAGAAAAATGGAGAATTTATTTCTTAATGAGTCTAATAGCAGTGAACAAGAAAGCTTTTACGAGGCTCGCAATAATTTTCTTAATACATCATTTTTGTATTACTTTTATCACAATTAAATAGTTTTGTTACTTCCTGTGAAATATCTTTTTAAATACATAAGAATGTTCTTCGCAAGAAGTCGAATAGACATCATCGCCCCAATGCAGGTGACGCAGCCAGATCAGAAACTTGACTGTCACCCTAATATGAGTGACGCAGCAGTCAACGAGTTTATGTATCTTTCTCTGATATTTTTGAAGATGAAATAGTAAACAACCTTGTGTATTATGACATTTAATATTTTAGTCTAAAAAATATTTTTAGAACCTTTCAAATAATTTTCAAATTTAATTCTAGCAAAGATAGGATTAAAATCAGCAAATATAAGTTTGTCAGATGAAACTGGAAATGTATTCCTAATAAAAATGTTTTCCAATTTCATCTGCCATTTAAATTGGCATTGGCTAATTTTAGTTTTATATTTACTTCAGAATAACCATAATGTTTCATCAGATTTTTCTCTTGAATATTAATTTGCAATTCATAATGGGTAGATTATAGTGACTTTAAATTTCATGAGGATAGTGCTTGAATTATTATTAAAAATGTATTGATTTCATAATACCCTGTGTATATATGACTGACAATATTTTATTTCAGTTCTATAGTCATGCAAACCTTTGCAGGTGACTAAGTTAAGTGCCATGGCTAAGATTTAAACTTACTGAGGATCTATTACAGTCCAAAATATACTATTTTATAGAGATAAAAAAAAATTAGTTATTTCTGCAAATTGAAATTTCATAAGTATTCCTTTAAATTTTTAAAATCTATTTGGCAATTGAGCAAAGTTCTAAGCTTTGCAGAATATTTTACCTATAATATTACTGTATGAAATGAACAAGTAATCTATTTACAGCTATTTGTTGTAAAAAAATAACATATTTTAATGAAAATTTATTTTGTAGGCTGTTTTTTTTTTAAGAGTTAAATTATTTTGATAGAAATTTTTTTTTTTTTTAAAATATATATTTAAATGAAGTATACTTTCTAATAACTTTTCTAATAACTTTTCCATTTTGTTATAGTTTTTATTTATATGCTTATTTATTTATCCTTTATGTATTTTTTTGTTCACATGATGCAGTCTGCGCTTATTTCAATATTAGAAGCGCCGCTGGAGTAATTTTGATCGTTTATTTATTTTATTTTACTATTTCTTACAATGCTTTTGAAGATTTACATGATCATCAAAGTTCATATTTTTTACTTTTCCTAAATTTTTTTCCAAATCAAAATTTCATCCCTTTATGTTGATTAGTAAAATAAATAATCATAGAAATGATTATGGCAGCCAAAAGGAGTCATTTTGACCCTTTTAAGAGAAACAGCAGGGCTGATTGTGCTCCGCAAGTTTCCGGAGATCAAAGGTTCAGACATTTCAAAAAATCATTGATCACAAAATCTTCCAGAAATCAAATTTTCAAAGGTGGAACTTAAAAACACAGTTCATTTTATTTGTTTGTAAGGGAGAGCCAAATACTTTATAAGCTTATATTCAAGATTAATATTAATTTTTTATCAGTAAATAGTTATAATCGTAAACTCAAGAAAGAAAGACATATTTGTAAAATTTCAATTACTTCTCCAGGTCATCATAGGTATTTGTAAAACTTTAAATATATTTTAAGTAAACTAAGAAATATTGAGAAAAAGGAAAAAACATTGTTTAAATTTTTCGATTTAAACTTTACTTTTTTTACTCAAGAAATTTTCTGGAATTTTGACTTGAGCTCACAATCATCCCTGAAACAGTCATTTTTGACATTTTATACATGTTTTTGATTATGCAAAACTTCAAACTTGGTGATTATGATTTGTAGAACATAAATTTGAAGCTGCCATGTTAAAGTAATGTCACATATTAGTCTTCGTTAAATTAGTGAATGGTATCCAAGACTTGATGTCTGAAGTTGCTTATTTGATCTCTTATTGAATAAAAAATTCGTTATTATGTTGATTATTAAGTTTTTTTCATTAGTATAATTTTTTATTATTATTATTTCATTATTATAATTATTTCATTATTATATTATTATTATTTCATTATTATATTATTATTATTTCATTATTATAATTTTTTCTAATTATGATCCCAACAAGATTCAAAAGTTCTTGCTAATCACTGTGATAAGCAATTCTTACTTCAGAAGAAGGTTCTTTTTTGTGTGTATTCTAGGCATTTTTCCTCTATTGAACATAGGAAATTCATTAATTTTAAGTTAATAATATGAAATATGGTCATAATTATCCTATTTAATTAATACGCATAAGACTTAATAAAGTGCAGTAAAGCATATACCTTACCTGCATGAAAACAAGGTATTTTATTGAATGTTAGCACTGAAAGAATTTTTCAAAAATAGTGTTACTTACAATTAATTCTAGGGTTATCTCCCCACTTGACCTTAATTATAATAGATTATAATTAGGTAAGAGTTAAAAATTTAAACTGATTTTTTTTTTGCGTTAACTTACCTTTTTTCCAGATTTGGAATTTTTTTCTATGTTTAATTTTTTTGCTCCAATTTATCCTTTTTTATAGACATTAAATTCTTATTAAAATTGGTTTTCCTTATTAAGGTGCAGCCTTTTTCCAGAAAATAATATGGAAAATTGAATTTGCATCACTCAACTATTTTCAATTAAGTGTTGAATTTTTAAAGATTGTTTTTTACCTGTGCTATGCAAAATTTAATTTTAATCAGAGAATATTTAGATCGTTATAAAATGTGTTTCACAATCATCAGGGGTCTGTCCAGGCGGAATTTACTACCGTTTAGCGGTACCTTCACAAATTCAAATTTAGGAAAAACGGTAGTTTCACAAAATACTTTTTCTTGAAATTTTATTTTTGTATCCCTTAAGAAACCAAAAATCCATATTTTTGTATTGATTTTTTAATATAATTTTTAATTTTTCATTAATTATGTCTAAATTTTCACAAAATAGGTACCTCTCAGAAAAACCTACACAGACCCCTGATCATATTGTTCTTACATAATGTTGGTAGCTTTTGTGTAAACTTGTAAAAACTTAATTTAAAACCTAGAACATATTTCTCTGGGAGGAAATTAGTGATATTTTAACAAAATTGATGATGTTGTCTTGAGTTTTAAATTGCTTATCCATATTTTATATCAGGAAAAGCTTATATGAAGTCTGTGATTCTTTTGATGTGGAAACTGACTTTAAATACTTTAAGAAAGTTTTCCCAGAAATATCAATTTCTGATGAAGAACGTCTAGAAGAGTTTTTGGTTGAAAAATATAATGCTAAGAAAATTTCAAAGATTGAAATGACTACTTTATTGACAGATTTGAATAATGAGAACCAGAAGTCAAAAACATGGGCATTGCCTGGTAATTTTAATTTTTTTGTATTTATGTTTTGTTTTTTTATTTATTTATTTGTATTCATGTTTTTGTATTTATATTTAAATTTATGGCATGTTGGTGCAAAGTGGTGATAAGATTTTAGCTAGTGCTGATATGTCTATACCCCATCTTAACTGCAGGGCTGATTGTGCTCCGGAAAAAATCCGGATTTCCGGAATTTTTGCTAACAGAGGTGATCACATAGTGATCTGGAAGTTTCTGGAGATCGAAGGTCCAGATGTTTTAAAAAAATCATTGATCACAGAAGTTAACGGAAATCGAATTATCAAAGGTGGAACTTAAAAGCACAGTTTATTTTATTTGTTTGTAAGGGAGAGCCAGAGAGATACTTTATAAGCTTATATTCATGATTAATATTCATTTTTTATCAGTAAGTAGTTGTTATAATCATAAACTCAAGAAAGAAAGACATATTTGTAAATTTTAATTACTTCT